AAACATATAAGTATTTTAATTATATATCAATATGTGTATTACTACATATTGTTTTAGAATGTTTTTAAATGAAATATTATCCTAAAACATAACTAACTTCCTTAATATTCCATTGCTTAGAGATAGCAATAGTTTGACTCTTTCTAATGAAAAATGTTTCCAAGTGTTCGGAATTAAAACACTTAAATTCTGTATGCATATCACTTTGCGCATTCTAACATATTGTATCAATATTACAACTTTTTGCAAAACCGGTTTTATTTCTGTAAGTTGCTTGCTCTCACTTACAAGCTGTGACCCCTGGTGCGTGGAGAGGAGCTAACCGTTTGGGCAGAAAGGAAAATGATACTCAGTTTAGTCGTCACACACTTTGGCAACTATATTAGGAAGAAGAAGGTAAGCTGTGTGGTGCTTTTGGAGGGTAGACAACTCCTGGTGGAGAAACTTTCTCCTTCCCTCTGCTGTCCATATCTCCAAGGTTAGGCAGGGGCAGTTTAAGCCAGCTACGGCCAAGTCGGACAGCACCTCCGCGTCCCTCTGCCCTCTCATCCTCCTCCCAGCCTTGCATGGAGTCTAATCATAAAATCATGGTTTTATTTTTTCCTGTAAAGATTGACTGTTGTGGATTTAAATTTTTTATTTCTTTTAGTACTATGAATGCTCATCACCCAGCTACAGTAGCCATCAGTATTTCCTTTTCATGGGTTCTGCTTTTCCCCTTTTTTGCTAAGTACTTTAGGGCAAATTACAGACATCCTATCATTTCAGCTCTGTGTAAGTCAGCAGGCATCTGTAGAAATGGCATTTTTAAAATGTAACTTCAATACCATTACCATAACTAATAGCAATAATAATTCCCTGATATTATTTAATAATTCAATTATCTTTTTAAAGGTTTTTATAAGATTGTTTTTTCACATCAGGATCCAAGCAAGGTTCACTGGGTTATCATGGCATTTTTCTTTAAATGTAGTTGAGACTGACCTGGAACTCACTGTGTAGCCCAGGCTGGTCTTGAACTCACAGCGATCCTCCTGCCTCAGCCTCCCAAGTGCTGGGATTACAGGCATGCACCACCACATCTGGCCTATCATGGCTTTTTAAAGTTTCCTTTAATCTAGAATAAACATGTCTGTGCTTCCTTAGTCATTGTGGAGGAAACTCACCAGCTGTTCAGAGAATGTCCTCAGCTCAAATCCAGCTGGAGCTGCCTCCTGATTTCAGGAAGCATGTGCCGCTACTCTGCATAGCCTGTGACTGGAAGTTAACCCTAAACGTGGTGAGCTTCAAGGTCCATTCAAGGTTATTGATTCACATGCTTTTGATTGAGGCAAGAGTGTTTCCTAGGCATTGGTATGGAGAGTATATTTTATCCCACTGAGAGATACATAATATCTGGCTGTTTCACTGTAGTCATGCTGAGATCCCCCGGTGCGTTTAGATGATGAGAAGCCTCGTCTCTGCGTTTCAGAGTTCTTTCCCAACCTTCTATCCAGTGGTTTTGTTATATATCAATGAATATAATGACCACAGCCAGTGTCAGCTACGTCTTACTAGGAGGCATCATCCCCACTTCTACCCCATGCTGTGGATTGAACCCAGTGCTAAGCAAGCACTTTGCCACTGGGCTGCACAACTACATACCCAGTCTTTAAAAAAATTTTTTTTTAAATTTCACTTTGAAACAAGGTCTCTCTAAGTTTCACAGGCTGACCTTGAACTCTTGTCAGTCTTCCTGCCTCAGCCTCCTGTGTGCTGAGTTTACAGGTGTGCATCACCATACCTGGCTATTGGAACATTTTAAAAACTTGGTTAAAATAAAAATTTTTTGAAGGTCAAAAAATCTATCCTTTCTATTAAGTTTGGCTTTCTGGGGGATGAAAGATAAATGCTATCTCAGAAAACAAAAAAGTGAAATAAAATGTTCTCTATTCTAATGCAGGAAGATGATGTATAGACTTTTTAAAGTTTACATACATGATAACATCTTACACAGTCCTTACTGAATCACAGCTGTGATGCTGACACTGGTACACGTGACCAGGCGCAGGGGCTGATACACTTAAGATAGCAGCTCTCATCATCTTCTTGACAGGCCCCTCAGAGTCTTGGGCTCGAACTGCCAAGTGCTGGGAGACAGGGCTGCTCTGCGCCCTTGTCTGCAGGCCCGGGTGACACTGGAGGTGTCCTGAGAGTTTCCCCTCTGCTTTGGCATGTTTCTCAGGTCACAGCTGCACAAGAACAGCAGGGTGAAGGTCTCGAGGAGTTGACACCCACGGTGGCCTGTGCTCCACCTCACTTCAGAGCTCCACGCACATGCTACCTCCAGAAGCAAGAACAGGTTTCAGCCTCTGAGGAGTTTCCTTTTTAATAAATTGGACTCCACTGTTCCTTTACATCCCAGGTGTTGGCAGAATAGAGACTCGTGGAGTTTTGTCCTGAGAGTTGATGGTTTTCCAGGGAGGCCCAGATCCCAGGCAGAGCCAGGATGGATCACAGAGGGCAAACCCACACTCCTGCTGCAGCTGTGCAAGACGCAAGCCTCTTGGGCTTCCGGGGAGAGGTGGGCAGGGTGTCACCACAGGAGTGAGTGAGCAGGACATGCTGTGATTTCTCCAGCCACACACGTCGCTCTGCAAGAAATCACGTGCTGATTGCTACTCATTTTATATTCAGCTGTGTTGTCTTTTCACTTTCCTTCTTTTTACTAAAGGAGAATCTGTGGAACCCAGAGAGCAGGTGTCGAGCCTGTACCCAGGCCGCTCTGTGGTGGCTCAGAGTCCAGTGGTGTAGACAGTCACATCCGCAGTTTTCCGGCCTCGTTTTCTCAGGTGCTCAAAACCAACCCCACAGGTAGAGCAAGGAGCAGAAGCCAAGGAGCAGGGTCACTGTGTGCTTTAAAGGCACAGCCACTGTGTCAACAGCCCAGTGAGACACCTGCCCTGTGACTGTCTTGACTTCCAATTTGCAAGAGAAGCTGTAAGGTGGATTTTTCTTAAACCCTTTAAAAGCAGGCAGAGAGCTCAGATTTTAAATCAAAGCCCTCTGACAACTGCGCAGGAGCCAGGGCAGGTAGCTGTCACCTCCACCTTAACCACTAAGCTTACAGCCTTTGCTCTGCATTCCCTTGCTGTGTCTGCCTTCCTGGCTCACCATCCTCATTTCTGAACTAAATCATCAGTGTCACCCAGATAAGGTGACACACACTTGCCTTCTCAGCTGCTCAGGAGGCTGATACAGGAGGCTTAGAAGTTTGAAGCCAACCAAGGCAATTTAACATGCCTATCTCAAAATAAAATTAAAAGTGGGCGCTGGGCTGTAGCTCAGTAGTCGAGCACTCGTCTAGCTGTGTGAGGCCCTAGTCCGGCCCCAGCACCTGAAACAAAAACAAAAGCAAAATGACCTCAGTGTTGTTCTCCTCTTGTCTTCCCCGCAGCCAAACCTGAGGCTGTTGATTGAGATGCTAAATGTCCTGTTTTCTTTCCTTCCTGCCTCCCCCATTCTAGTTCCTGTTTGCTGTAGCATCATCTACCAGGTTGGCCATCTCTCACTGGCCTCTCTCTTTCCCTCTTCAGAACAGTCCATAGGTCCTCCCATGTGACCTCCACGCCTCTGCCGGACAGCGAGGCCTCAGGTCATCCAGCCCCAGCCACCTTGCTGTCACGCTTCTCTCTTCCTGTATGAGCCTCAGTTGCTCATCAGGACCAGCTAACTTCCCCCAGCCCAGGATCTTGGGACACTTTGGGGGATGGGCCTTGGCTCTGGGATGGGTGATTCTGGGGTTACAGCCCTCTTGTATTTTTGTCTTCTGTTACCATCTCTGGAAGGCTGGGAGCAGGAAGGAAGTAGAATAAGGGAAGACTGCGGGCAGCCCGTGCGACTCCACTGTGGCCAAGGAGGTGCTGCTTGGGGCTCTGCAGACTCACAGTGAACGCCCTGTGGTGGACACAGGGGAAAGGCCTGCACCTCCCACCTCAGCCTCCTTCTTAGTGGTCTCCGTCCTGCCTCCCCCAGCCAAGGCTGAGGGCTTCCTTGGCCTGTGTGCAGCTCAGCTAACCGTGCTGTAGTCTGGATGCAGTGTGTGCCACCTACCCTGCTGCATCGACATCCAGTATTTGTGTGGTTAATTCGATCCTTTTATCAACCAGAGCAAATTATTGGCTCACTGACAGCTTTCCTGATGTGGAGAAGCCTTGTGACAACTTCTTTGCTTGGCAAGGTACTGGTAGCATCCAGAGACAGATCCCCTCTTGCCTGGCTCCCTGGCTCCCTGGGTGTTGGGTTGAGCTTCCTTGATAGTGAACGTAACACCTGGACTCGGTCACTCAGGCGTGTGACTGTCTCTCCTTTTCCTCTGTGTGCCAGGAGTCAGCTGTGCTGCTTTCCTGTTCCCAGTAGTTCATGCCACGTCAGGTATACGAGATGTGCTCAAGACGGCGGCTCTCATTGCTTTCTAATGATACCCTGTCTTGTCGGCAGCCCTCGGAGCTGTGACTGTCATTAGCTGAGATATAGGTGGACGGTTGGCTCCTTCCCCAGCCAAGTGGTAAACAGAGTCCTCTGGACAGAGCCTCAGACCCGCTGGAGCGCTCCATGTACATCTTTCCTTCATCAGCACGGTGTGTGGAGTGAGTTGTATTTGCTCTGGTGGCTTGGGCATTGGGGTGGCGGGGCCTTGTGTGCCGCAGTCTGCTGAACAGGCTGAACAGGAGAACGGACAGCTGGAAGCAGGAGTGTGACAGGATGATGAGTTTCCTATGACTCTCTGTTCTGAGGCAGCCTGTGACACATTTCCATTGACGATGCGCAATGGTTAAACTGGGAAGCAGATGAAATAACCTGAAAGAACACAGACTGCTTAATGATTCAGCCATTAAATTAGCTTTTCTTCTAAAAAAACACAGAGAATAAAGTACAGAAGCTGGAGATTACACTGGACTCTCGGTCCTCAGTAAGAATGGACACACTCATATCTTTCCTCTGTTTTCTTTTCTTGCCAGGTGATGGCTGTGGGCACATGGTGACGTCTCAGGACAGCGGCACAATGACGTCCAGGAATTACCCGGGCACTTACCCCAATCGCACCGTTTGTGAGAAGACGATCTCAGTCCCGAAGGGGAAGAGGCTGATTCTGAGGCTGGGAGACGTGGACATCGAGTCCCAGGCCTGTGCCTCTGCCCATCTCCTCTTCACCAGCTCTGCGGAGCAGCACGGTAAGAACAGAGGTGTGGTGGCTGTGAGCAGGGAAGGTGAAGGTGTGGGCACAGCTCTCAGTGCACTCTCTGGCCTCACCGCCTGGGCTGCAACTTGGGGTAGCTCCAGGGAAGGGCAGAAGCCACAAGGTTGAGGAGGGAGAGAGTGGGCAGCCCGTTGTGTCAGCAGCCTTCTCCAAGCATCCGTCCTGCCGGGAAGGGATTTGGAGATGCGTGGCTTTGGCTCTCCATCTGTGTTCGTTGGCCAGTATTTCCTGGATGGAGACAGCGTGTTTCAGGCGCTCTCTCTGGAATGGCATGGGCTTCAGCAGTGACAGACCAATGCTCCTCTCACAGAGCTTGCGTCAGGGGGTGGAGGAAGGAGGAGCAAACGCGTGCCTAGAGCAGCTCCTGGGTGAGAATGGAAAATACAGAATGGGAAAATCACGGCATCTGAAGCCGATGTCTCCCCTGTTCCTACTCCTGCTGCTGCTTCTTGGGGTGGGGGTCAGGAGGCTCTCCCACTGGGGACGCTGCAGCAGAGGCCTGGGGCAGCACGGCAGCTGTACTCGGCTTTCCTAAACAACTTCTGACAGTGGCTTTCCATGCTGTTGGTGACCGAGCTGAGCCAATTCTGAGTTCCAGGAAACCGTTTGGCATTGGATGATTGGAAAACAAAGACAAAATCCTACATAAATGTTCTGAGTTTGGGGTTTCTCTAAAGTCCTCTATAAGTACAGATCCAAAGCTGACAGAGGCTTTGGGAATCCTCCTGTCTGTCCATCGGCTCTGGAGTCTCAGACACCTCGGGGTCACCTGTCTTCCCCGCTGTGCCTGGAGTCCTTGCCTTGCTCCTGGAGCCTCCTCCACTGCCCCAAGCCCAGCAGAGCCCCAGGACACTCCGGCCCCATGGGAAGTAAGATCTGAGATTGTCCTGCATCCCTGGGAACATCCTGTCTGCTCTCGTGATGGCTGGATTCCCTGACACAGTCAAGGCGGTTTCCATATCATTGGCCACAACTCTTTCAGTGGTGCAAATGCTACAAGGGAGGACATACAAGGCCCCCGGAGACCCCTGGTCACCAACTGTGTTTTGACATAGGCAGGACCCGTCAGCCAGGAGATTCCGTCCCATCCCAAGGAGGGGCAAGGGCAATCCAGTGTGAGGGCCAGGCAAGTGAGGCAGGACCAGAAACAGCTTCTGCTTCTTGGACAAGCACCACCCTGCCCAGAGGATGAGCAGCCACCTCCACCTGTTCACAGTCCTCAGACATCCAGATGTTCAGTGCCTGTCATACGCCAAGCACTGCTTGACCACAGCACACATCTTCTAGAACCCCCACACCCATCCTTGGCAAATGTTACTTTCTTCTGCAGATAAACTGAGGTATGGTGACAATAGATAACATGCCCAGGATCACAGAGCTAGGCAGTTACGGGCTGGAAGGAAGATTCATTTATTTGTCTCCAAGACATCTCTTTCCATTACCTCTGCCACCTGGAAGATGCTGTGAGGGCTTGGCCTTCCCTGAGGCCTGGCCCCTCCTGGTCTTATGACTTTTCAGTAAGGGATGCTTTTAAGACAAAATGCCTAATGATGCTTAGAATTTCTCTCTTTTGTGCTAAAGTTTTCCTTTGACCAAAAACACCAGGCTGTGATTTTGACTGAGTTGAACAAGTGCCTGGTCAGTTCGGATACCTTGAGGGTGCAGGTGGTGGAGGAGGAGTGGCTGGGGCCCAGGCAGTGACTGGCCCCTAGGAGAAGCAGCGGTGTTGGGGAGGCTGCTCCAGGCCTGTGTGGCCACGGGATCTGCATGAAGGCAGCCGTCAGGCCCTGGAGCCAGCACAGGGTCCAGGCACTCACAGCTCCCTTGCTGGGGCCACTGCCTTGCAGCAGGGAGAGGTCTGCAGAATACTGAGAAGCACCGTGGCTGCGTCAGCCCCAGGTGTGTCTGAAGCTGAGTGGTTTGGGTTTATCCAGCTGGATGCTCCCCATTCAACAAATAATCATTAAAACCTTCTGCCAAAGGGTTTTAAGACTCAAAACTGTCAGACTTTTGAGGTAGAGCAATGTTTTGAAAAAGAACCATGATTTCTGGCCTCAGTGTTTGTAAGCTCTGCTGGAAATGGACAAGCAGGAGCAGGATCCTGTAGCCGTGGTGAATGTGCTGAGGCCTCACGCTCCTCACACGGTTTTGCGCCATTATTTCTCAGAGCTTGAGGCCTGCGTCACTTATGGTAAGTGCTGCCACGCATACTTTGGGCATTTTTTAATCCACGTTCTTGGTAACAGTGAATTGTAAATAAGTATAAACACCCACACCAGCTTTCCCGGTGACTAGATGAATACTCCCTTGGTCCCATGGGTGTTAGAAGGCCTCCTACCGACAAGCTGGGCTGCTTGAGCTTCCACTCGGTGTGTGCCACCCTAACAAATGCTCCTTCAGATCTTCACATCCTCCAGGACATGCACCATGTGTTGTGGCTGAATACGAAACTGGATGTAACATTAAAATTGATGAAGTGAAATCTGTCACCTGTATTTTAGGAAATATGTTGTTAAGTTTTTTAAGGAAAAAATAAGTTGTTAAGGTTTTTTAAAACATTTATTTCACTTTTAAACGTACAAAAATTTTTATGAATTATTTGTACACTGACTTTTGAGATCAAGTGTGTTATTATCTTAGTAAAAAAAAAACCTCAAATGTTTAAGTACCATAGTTTGCTTGATTTGCATTATTGTTAGTATAGTTAAAGGAATCCTGGGTTTTTACTTTTAAAAAGTCAGAGTAACTGAGGACATCTTAAGAAACGCTAATGTCTGTGTTTTGGTCCAAGATCCAGATCAGAAGAAAGAAGCCTCTCACTGTGCTGCCTTTCCCTCTCCTGTAATCCTCAGTACTTCCTCCTCTGCCATGTGCTTTGTACAGTTTAAAGACAGCTGAGCAGTTATTTTGCAGAATGTCTGTCAGCATGGCTTGATTTAATGTTCCCTGCAAGTAAACTCATACAATGCATTTCTGACCCCATAATTCTACTGATTTTTAAAGTCATTTTTAAAAGCTTGTTTACAACAATTTTCAACATTAGAAATTGTGAGATGGACTTCCAGGAAGATAGTGGAGTGGAGAACATCAGAGAAATAGCCTCTCTGAGATTTGGTGTCCAGATGCTAGAATATAGCAACATGAGGAAGAGAAGGAAAGTGGGTCCCTGGGACCCAGCAAGGATCTGAAGTAATAAATGAAACCCACAGGGAGAGTAGAGACCTCAAAGCAGAAGGAGGTGGCAAGTGCCACTTTCTCCTTGAGCTCTGACTTGATGCATGGAAGAGGTAGATTAGACCAGCAGACCCACAGTGACTATTGGAGACCCCAGAGGCTTCCACAAAGAAATGCACCAGTGGAATGGACCAGTGGACACAGCAAACTGCAGTGGCTGGTGAGTTATAGGAGTTCAGATGCCACCCAGGAAGGGACAACTGACCAGTAGCTATCATGGAGAGGGCCCAACTGAGCTCAGAACTCAGAGCAGCTGTGAGCTGGCCCCTTCTGGTGGCTCCCAGTGTCAGAATGAGGCAAAGTGAAGTTCAGGTTGGCAGGAGGTGAAGAAGCTAAGTTCAAGCCAACAGGAGGCATACAGAGTGTTGTAGGCAAAACAAGTCATACTCCAGCCTTACAACCAGAAACAGCCTGAATTTCAGAAGAACTGAAGGTGCAAGCTTGCTGGGACTATCCTGCTATAAATCTACATTTGGCTTTGAATCAACAGAGATCTAGGGCCCACTCTGTCTACAAGTGACAGCAAAGACTCCTTGAAATGGTCATTTTTTTTCCTTCTTTTCTTTTTTTCTTGACTGCTTGTTCTTGTTTTCATATGAGTATGAACATTGTTTCTAGTTTTTTGTTGTTGTGGTGGTTCTGTTCTTGTTTTTATTTCTTTCTTCTCTCTTTTCCTCCTCTCATTTGTTCACCATTTGTCCAAAGTTCGTGTAATCTTCTTTCTTGCTTCTAAATTCTTCTTCTTCTATCTATTTTCCCCCAACCCCTTTTAAATTTTCTCCCTTGGGGGTAAATTGCCATATGGAGTGCGTACTTACTGTATACAATTGACTGTACTATTTTAGTCAAGGTAACATAATTAGCCTGAACAGTTGTTCTTCCTGGTGTGCTGAGTCTGAGATCGCCTAAAGGTCATAAACAATACTGTAGGCTAAAGAACCAGGGGCTTGGCCAAGTAGACAGCAACTTCTCATCCCCAGTAAATTGAAGAGATGGGATCTTACTACTCACTCAAAACCCAAAAGTCAGCTATACCTAGAAGACATCTTTAAGAAGTAGTCATTTCCTAAGGGCTCTCAATAATAACAATAAAGCTACCTGCCCTAAGCAGTTTATAAGCATCAACCCAGAAATTAAACAAAAGAAAAGAAAAAATGAGAAGACATGGAAGCAATCAGAACCTGGACTTCCAGCTCAGTAAAGCTAAACCCAGGGGACAGTGAGGTGGAACCATTTGAAAGCCACCCACCTGGACTCTCTGAAGTAGTAACAGCAGAAGTAACAGCAGATAAATGGGCTCTAGGAAAAATCAAAACAGAAATAATTTCTCAGATAACTACAGAGATGGTGACCATAATGAAAGACATGGCTAGTGACTCTAGAGCAGATACAGATAAGAAAAAATAGAAGGGCTTGGGAACATGATGGAAACCATAAACATCCAACATAGGAAAGAAGTGGAATCCATGAAACACATTCAAACAGACATCCAGGAGACTGAAAATTCCACTGAAAGTGTAACCAACAGTATGAGCCAATGTGAGGACAGAATATCAACTATAAAAGACAGGATTGTGGTTAGTGATCATGAAAAGAAGGACTTCTTTAAAATAGCAGGGGACTATGAAAAATCATTCCAACAGCTGCTAGATGATGCAAAGAAGAATAACATAAGATTGATTGGATGAATAAAAAAGACATAGTGCAAATGACATTAAACCTGTTTACAGAAGTAATTGC